GAAATTGCACGGAAACCTGGAAATTTGACGGAAACCTGGAAATTGGATTGGAAACTTGAAAAACCTGTAAATTTGACGGGAAACCTGGACATTTGACGGAAACCTGGAAATTTGACGGAAACCTGGAAATTTGACGGAAACCTGGAAATTTGACGGAAACCTGGAAATTTGATGGGAAACTTGAAAAACCTGGAAATTTGACGGGAAACCTGGAAATTTGACGGAAACCTGGAAATTTGACGGAAACCTGGAAATTTGACGGAAACCTGGAAATTTGACGGAAACCTGGAAATTTGATGGGAAACTTGAAAAACCTGGAAATTTGACGGGAAACCTGGAAATTTGACGGGAAAGCTGGAAATTTGACGGAAACCTGGAAATTTGACGGAAACCTGCAAATTTGACGGAAACCTGGAAATTTGACGGGAAGCCGAGAAATTTGACGGAAACCTGGAAATTTGACGGAAACCTGGAAATTTGACGGAAACCCGGAAAACCTGGAAATTTAAAGGAATCCTGGAAATTTGACGGAAACCTGGAAATTTGATGGGAAACTTGGAAAACCTGGAAATTTGATGGGAAACCAGGAAATTTGACGGGAAACCTGAAAATTTGACGGAAAACCTGGAAATTTGATGGGAAACCTGGAAAACCTGGAAATTTGAAGAGAAACCAGGAAATTTGACGGGAAGCAAACCCATCTGTTGAAGCTTCAAATATGTTTCGCCTCATTCGCTGGCTTGATTGACATCATAATATTCATGATATGGCTTAACTACCACAGGGCCAGGTTGTGGCAGTTTTAGATGTGAGTCTGATATCTGCCACTCTACTACACATTTCGAGCCATAAGTTGGCTCGCAAACCAGGCAAATTCAGTTTTCCGTCAAATTGATTTCAAAGCTCATGTGCTGTTTTTCTTCTTTTAAGTCGCTTTGGCAAGTTTCGGTCGTTTTGGGGGCCACTCTGCTGCACTGTCGCAATTGGGCTGCCTCGAGAAGCTCTTGACTCTGATCTGGCCTGATCCGATGGAAACTGATGGACAGCTGTGAAACCATCTCCCACAGAATGTTTCGTCACTCGATGAAAAGGTGTCCTTTTCAAACTTTTCAATAGTCCTCAAACAATCGAACTGCAAGCCATGACAGGATTCCCGACGTCTTGGGGTATATGGGCGGCTCAAAAACCACTCAAAAAACCACTCGCGGTTCTTTTGTCGAACTTGTCCACTGAGGCACCAGACCATTCTCCGAAAGCTTCTGCTGAGACAGATGACTTCATAGAAACTCTTTAATAAGTTCCGTTAAATTTTAAATACTATTTCTGGTTCCTATGCCTCCAAATGCATCTCTTTTGGCACAGCGTGCAAGTTTGAATCCTTTAATGGCAAAGCCAGTAAAACAGCCTTTCCATGCCTTTCCCGTGCAGGACGGCTGTGAACGCTTCTGTTGTAGCTTGGTGTCCGGCTTTCGAAGGTGGCGGTGGAACAAAGTCAGGCTCTTCCACTTCATTCTCTTCACTATCCCTAGGAAGATGCTACTACAGATTTAAATAGATTTGAAGTATTCTGGCCAATTAGTCAACGAGGTTTAGCCACGACACTCACAGCTTGAATATGTTGAATGGCCTTCCTGGTGCTCTCAGACTCTAAGCGCAAGATTTTCCAAACAAGCCATGCATTCTCTGTTCTAAACGACCTTCGTCGCTTCTTGCTGGAACCAAAACGCCAAACCCCGGGGTTTTGGATGCAATTTTTTTGTGTCCAGAGATATATATATATATGTGATATATATATATATATATATCAAGGAACATTTTGTTGTTGCAAACTAATTTCATCACATAATTCCTTGGGACTGATGCTTTTAGGCTTAGAGGTTAGTGAAATGCACAATATTGTGGTTAGTGAAATAACAATATTGAGGCTAGTGAAAATATAAGGGTCAAGAATGTTTTTGTGGTTAGCAAAATCTACCTTGTTGGGGTTAGGCAAAGATCTCTTGAGGTTAGCAATTTGGCTTGTAAGGGTTAGAAGTGCGTCTCTGACAGGATGTCACTGACATCATTGGTAAAAAAAAATAAGCCCAAAGAATATCCCCGATCCTTCACCGCTAAATCTACATTGCGGAGAGGGTACTGAGCAGAATTTACACCAGATTCTATATGGCGGAAAAAGGCCTAGGCAGAATCTACAGATCATCCAATCTACATCTTTAACCAGTAACACTTCAGGTTACACTCCACCCCGGGGCCTCTGCGTTTGGAAGCTTCACGTGTATGGCTGGAGCCAATGGCTGCACAAGGCTCCAAAAAACACGGAAGAATACACTGGGCGTAGGAAGAAATGATATATATATATACATATCCATACAAATATATATATACACACTGAATGAATGATTATGTCGAAATATATTTGTCGGTTGGAAGAGATATTCTTGTCGACCAGAACTACTCCTTGTCGGGGAGAGCCAGAATTAGTCGAGCATACGCCGCCGTCTGATATAGACATATATAGACTATATAGACATATATAGACTATATAGACATATATATGTATATATATATACACTATATAGACATATATAGACTATATAGACATATATATATAGACTATATAGACATATATAGACTATATAGACATATATAGACTATATAGACATATATATATACTATATAGACATATATAGACTATATAGACTATAGACACATATAGACTATATAGACATATATAGACTATATAGACATATATATAGACTATATAGACATATATATATATACTATATAGACATAAATAGGCTATATATGTCTATAGACTATAGTGATCCAAAATATATAAAGTGATTTAAACATTAATATAGATCCCACAGGGAAGCCACATGTCCCCACAAAGGTGGCATCATCATTAATGTCGACGAGCGGCGGGACCGCCGATGAATTCCTGATCAGTACCTAGCGGAACAACGGAAGGAACGACGGAACGGACAGGATGGGAGGGCGCTCCCAACGACATTTGGTACCCTCTGGTACATTGTTACATAGCTATTGAAAATTGCCATAGCTAGTTCGTTGATTTAGCCATACATATGCTGATGTAAACTTTTACCGTTGAGCCGTAAATTGGAGGATGAATCCCCAATCCCTCATTGTATTGCCTGTGCAAACCTCCGGACAAGCATACAAACATACGCACAAACATACATGTGTATATATATATATATACATGTAATTGCGTTGAATGTGCATATATCTTTAGTCAATGTATGTATGTATGTGTATATATATATGTTATATGTATACACATATACATTGATGATATAGAAATAATACCTTACCTTAGATTAGATGGAGTATCCATACCTTTGTATTGTGGGGTCAGACTGGCACAACATGAACTGAACCCCATGTTTTCCCTCTTCTTTGTGAAACGTGCAGGTGATACCCCTACAGTAGTAGGATTTTCCTACTAAAACTCGGGTGCTGTGAATATGAAATCATATATAGTAACCTCAGAAAAAATAGAAACATTTTCAACTTCTTACTATTTGAGTAGGATGTTACATTTCTCTCTTTTTTGGTGTTGCTATGTATATATATAATATATATAAATATAGAACACATGTAAATACAATATAATTATAGGTAGAGAATACCATTTAATTATAGAACATTAATATGAACAATATAAATATGGATCACCGTGTATATAATATATATATACGATGTGTGTATATATATATATACACGACATATATATATATGGTTATTGGTCAAAACCCGGGTACCTAGTTACCCAAAAATGGCCGCCTACTGGGTGGTTATTCCCCAAAAATGTATGGTAATAATAGGTTTTGACCCATCCCCATGTATAAATATAGACCACTGTATATATATAACTATATATATATATTATATTTTGTATATTGTGTATATATATAATTATATATACAGTATATGTTTAGATAAAACCATATAGAACCAACCCAGCTTCGCTGGCTGTCTTCGCCTGCCATGACCTCCTCTGGTGTGTTGCGTTTCCGCCGCTCCTCCGATGTCGGGAACTTTTCAAGGAGCGGAAGCCCCAAAGAATTGGGATCTGATCGGGATTATCGTATTAATTGTCATCATTAATGGTGATTTAATGGTGATATTCAATGAGATAATGGTAAACGATATTCAATTGATATTCACTAGTCATCCAGTGTTGGCAAATGATTGTCATATTCAATGAGATAATGGAGGCAACCCTGGCTGCAATAATCCTAAAAAATGACTGGGGATGGTTGGAATCCCACCCATTCAAAATGATGTTGGGGACGGTTTATGGCATTGGGTTTACCACATTATGGTTGATTGAACCTAGAACAATCGGAAAATTAGGGTTGGTTTAGATGTTTAGTTGGTGTTGCAATATGTTCACTCTTGGGTTTGTTGCTGATTCTAATGGGAGATATAAATCGCCAACATCAACTCTCTGTCGTGCTTGAAAAACCAACTCTCAAGGGGGAAATTCCCGCCCTGGATCTGATCCGAATTGATGTATTTGTGGGAAGTTTAATTGCAAAATCATGGATTTTGGTGGTTGAAGTCTCTGAGAGCTTGTCTGAGCTTATGAAAAAAAATCTGTGCAAAATAGAAAGACCAACATGGAATCCCAACAAAAGTGTTGAAACATTATGCTTTCAATGGACCGACCATTTTCAGGTTACATGTCCGATCAGGTGAAAAACAGGGATAAAAAAAAACATTTATGTCTGGTCATTAGTCACTCATAAAGAGTGTGAGGATATGCAAAAATATTGTGACTTACACTGTACCGGTGCGTTCTGTATCGTGTGAGAACGCTATCCCTGAAATATTGTTGATTATCCTGATGTGGGGATGTTCTTAAAATAGGGCTACCCCCAATCCATGTTATTTTCGGATTTTTCAGTATAAACCATTCATTTTAAGGGGTATACCCCATTTTAGGAAACTTTCATATATTATATAAATCTGGATCATTCAGAATAAAGACCGTTTCTACTGTAAGCTGACGGGCCATGAAATCTATATGCGCTGCACCTTATAGTACTATCACTAAAGAGTTTTTTTGATAGTATAGCAAGTACTATTAAAGATAGAACAGTAAGTAAATCATCATAAAGATAGAAAAGTAAGTAAATCATCATAGAGATAGTGTTTTTTTTCGGTACTCCCATTTTTTTTCCTCGTTGCGCACGCTGCCACCCATGACACCAGCATGGCACCTCCACCCTGACATCGAAGACGGAGAAGTCTGCAGTGTTCATGTGCAGCTGATCTGCTTGCACACGAAGTTGGAACCTGGCAGTTCAGGGGCCTCCCAGTCGTGATGTTGGTTGGTTTATAAATGTTTATAAAGCCCATGAACATCCATGAACTATTTCGTGAAACACATATCATTAAAGCCATTAAAGCATCACAGTATTAAATAGTGGTTGGTGGTTGACCTACCCCTCTGAAGAATATGAGTAAGTCAGTTGGGATGATGACATTCCAAACTGAATGGAAAGTCATAAAATTCATGTTCCAAACCACCAACCAGATATATTGTTATTCCAATGGTTAACCACAGATTAACCATAGATTAACAATAGATTAACCATAGATTAACCATAGATTAACCATAGATTAACCATAGATTAACCATAGATGTCGTTGGGTTCCATTAATATGTTGTATCCCCAAATCACCATAAACCCAACACTTCGACTCTGGTCACTTCGCCATCGGGGTCCCGGGTTCCGGTTTTATGGGGTCCCGGGGTCCTACCTGAGGTCCGAGTCAATGCCAAAGCCATCCAGGGAGGTCAAAGAGCTCAAGGTCACAGCAGTGATGAACTGATACTCCTGCAATGAAATCATGAATTCGGATGGAAGAGATTTGACGAACAGTGCGAACTGGGTGTGAAAAAAACATTGGAAAAAGTAAATCATCAGTAAGCACAGATAGACACAGCACAATCAACAAGAAATCTCCGTGTCAAGAAGCTACAAACTCCAGGGACGCCAAACAAGCAAGGTCGTTATTGGACCTGGCCCTCCTTCGGAGGGTATGGCAAGACTGCACAAGAAGGCAGATGGGCAAAACATTGCAAAACCAGAATGCCCAGTGATTCGTTTAGCAACATGGTCCATTTTCCATAGCAAACTATTGAAGAACCAGAGGCTTTTTCAGAAGTTTCAGAACATGTAAGAACCACCTCAAGTGGGATCAAATTTTCGTAGACAGACAAGTTGGGAATCTGGAAGTTATAGAGGGAACATGGGGAACATCTACATAACATCCTGGACCGATCTATCGTTGGGGAACCCACCCAAATACAACACTGAGATCTACTCACCTACCATACGTGAGAGTGAACAATGTAAGAATGTAACAGTGGCAAAATACAGGTTTGTCTGAAAACAATGGAAGTCAATGTGTTGGCAATTAAGTGGTTGTGAACATGAAATATTAAACCATAGGATGTTCAACAAGACGTGGCCAAGAAGTCTATGGATGTTCCATCCAAAACTGTAGCTTCAAGCTCAAAACATATGGTGTTCTGGGCATATGAACCAATTTTTCATACGCCACATAAACATACAGAAAGAGATCCCTCATGACCCCCTAATTTTGATGCTTTACACATATTCAATGCCCGTTTTTTGAAACATGACCAACAATTCAAGGACCCCAAGGACTCGGACTCTTACCGTAAGCCAGCCCCAGCTGTGATCTCTGTCTCCCAAAGATAAACCCTTAAGATTGAAAGGATTAGCGGCTCTTGGCCTTGGTCATAAAATGGTCAATCTTTGCTAGTTCACAAAAAAAAAAAACCTTTGCCAGTGGTGCTTATTTTCCAATGGCAAAACACTAAAGGATTCAACTACCCTGACTTTTACTTCAGTTTCCGTCCTTGAATCCTTCCGCAAAGGGGTTCGGCCAAAGCCTCGCGAAGCTCTGGCTGTCGAAAATTCAGGGAACCCTCCAAATCCTCCAATTTGGATGGTTTATGGCATTTTATGATCAAATTCCCACTGAAAATCCATGAAACTTGAGCCAACATCGAAGTCGAAGTTTTGAGTTTTGAATCGAAAGTTGACATCAAAAGCACATCGGGGATGCCACCTTTGACTGTACCCACAGGTCTGACCGGGGATACAACCAACAATCACGGATAAACCAGCATTAAACGGGTATCAATGGAATGCAAACAACAGTGAGAAATGCTGGACTAAGTCGTGATACCCCCCAAATCTGCTGAAAATGTGAGGCCCAGTGGTAGGTGAGGCCCTTGAAGCGACATTTTTTCATAGGTCCAACATCTTGCAGCGCTTCGACAGGAAGGGCTGCTAAGTGTCACTTCTCCAGAAAATGAATTAGATCCTTAGCCTGGTTCAATCACAAGTTCTCTTTTTTATTTCCGGTTCAAAGCTAAAACCCCAATTTTCGGTGCTCAACCCCACACACAAATATCTTGGATCCAAGATGCTTGAACTCTTCCAGGTGTATTCGTTCCAAATGACTCATCTGCTTCCGAAAGAAGGTCGGGCGCCAACTGAACTTGTTGCTGGAGAGGTCCAAGACACGCAGTTTCCTTAGTTTCCATTGGCTTGGTTGGAAAAATCCCGGGGTTCCTGTAGATTTTCCCTTAAACCAATCCATTGTTTCAGCAAATGGAGGTTTCCAATCCGTGGTACCTAAAAAAATCATCGAAGCCAATGATTTTAGTGATTTTAGTATTCAAAACATTTCAAAACCATAGTGACATGATGTGACTTGGGTATCCCAAATTGGTGGTGAAACACCCAAATAACTCTTAGGATTTCCTGTAATTGGTGGTGAAATGGCCAACTCTTGGCCAAAGTCAGCGAAATCGGCACCGGTGATGCCAAAATTGATCTACAAAAATGATGAATGTTAATTTATGTTAATGGATGTTCTAATGTTTTATCATATGTTCTATCCATCCATCCATCCATCCATCCATCCATCCATTTTGCCAGCCATGGTTGCTTCCCAACAAGAAGAAAGGTGATCTCAGAGGTGCTTCCCAAATCCCAACCACCACTGGCCGATAGTTTTAACATGTTTCAACCCTCCTGAGAATTAGAAGTTAAATGGAACCTCATCTAAATGATTCAAATGAAGCATGGGGAAGTTTATATATATATATATATGTATACAATGTTGGGCCCCTTCCACTTGCCCCAGTCAAAACTGTCACGGCATTCATCATAGTTTATAATATGTTCAATTTCAATTCTACAATATGTAAATCATCATGTACTGTAAACCATCATGTAAACCATCATGTAAACAATTGGTAAACCATCATGTGTAACATATAATAATCAAGATAGTATCAATGGTGGTTTCAAAAAAATGAGGATCCCCAAGTCACCGGCTGCTTCAATACTAAGATGGTCTAATGACTGGGATGATTTGGAGTACCACCCCCATTTTAGGACACCTCCAAATGATGGTGTACATTACATGTGAATGATTAAAGAGTATTGATGTAAATCATATAATCATATATAGTAGTACATCATGATTAACATATTATGAGATTAATATGAATATGATTATAATATATATATTATAATCTAATCTAATGATCATCTTAGATCTTTGGGATCAAGATGATTATATAAACAAAAAAAACATGACCCAACTGTAGGCGAGCATCTGAAGGTCTCCGAACTGTTCCAACCTCGGTGGCTTTCTCCGTGGATACCCTCTGGTTATGACATTCACAGTTCGCCATGGTTAAGCCATGGCCCATAGATTTATAGATGGTTTACCTATTAAAAATGGTGATTTTCCATGGCAAACTGTAAAAGTCATAACCAGATGGTATCTGGTTTATGGTTGAAAGAAAAACGACGGTTTTGGATTTGGAAATCTAGGTTTCCAATGTTCGGTTTCGATATCTATGTTTTGCCGGAAGGTCAATGCATGGGAAATGGATCTTCAAACTGCCCAATATGGAAATGTTTTGCGGAAATCAAAGGATGAAAGTTGGTTTCGTTTGGGCCAACTTTTAACAAACATTTGACAGTCCCGATCATCGCAGCTCCACAGTTGAACCATGGAAGCATGGTGAACCATGGTCCATCGAAGGAGGCGTTTTACGAGGCTATACCAACTTTTAACTGTCTGTGCCATAAAAAGTACATTGCATAAATATACCATCTGGTTATGACATTCACAGTTTGCCATGGAAAATCCACCCATTTTAAAGCTAGCTAAACCAGGTAAACCATTCTATTTCAATGGGCCATGGCTTAACCTATGGCGAACTGTGAATGTCATAACCAAAGGGTAAGTCCCGGGGTTCCATGATTACCACAATGTGGGGCCCCCCAGTTATAAATTGGTTTATAAACCCCAGTAACTATAGTTATGTGCGTATCATAAACCATAGTTATTGGAGTTATAAACCAACTTAGCTATCGAACGGGGGCCCCACTTTGCAGAGTATGTGCCAATCCACCAGATCGGCGATGTAAAAACTCAAGCAGAATGCGTGGATATTGGACATCTGCACAATCGAAATGTTCATCTCTATGTTTATGTATACATATAGATAATCTGTAATATATATATTGTTTGTGTTATATTATATAGGTACCAGATGTCTAAACATGTGTATGTACACAATATATATATAATATAATATTATATATATATGTATTATATATACATATTATATACATATATTATTATATATAAAGTGGCATGTGTTGTTTATCATATATCATATATCATATATCATATATCATATACATAAATATGATGAATCGTATTCTGTACAGCACAGGATGTGCTGTCTTTGCTCCTATCCCTCTGGCTGATACTCGTCCCTGTCATCTCATCGTCGCTAAAAAAAAGAGAAACATTGAAGCATGCGTTATTGGTGATGATTTTCACATTAGACAATGTGATACAATGTGATACAATGTGATACAATGTGTATGTTTTGTTGCCATGTTTTGAGTGTCCAGAATTCATGTCACATACAACTTGATAATAACCATATTATGGGATGGTCAAAAAAGGCCATGTCTGCGAAGCCAATCTTCAACTCCTTCCAACATGGTGAAATCCTTTGGGAAAGCGTTCTGGGTTTTCAACAACAATGGGTGAAAGATGTGGACCGTTCTCTGTGAAAACCTTTGGGAAAATGATGGAAAATGACCAATTTGTCTGTGAATCCTTTCACCATAAAAAGGAGCCATACCGAGCCACCATTGGAGCCCTTTGAGGTACCATGGTTGGTTGACCTCTCCAGATACACCGGAGACCGAACCGTTCTAAGAAAGCCCGGCAGCTTGTCGTCGATGTTGTTGTGCGACAGCAACAGCTTACTGAGCTGGGACAAACTCGAGAAGTCCTGGAGTGTCAGGGCCGTGTCTCCGGAAGTCTCTCAATAAATCGAAACAACTAACAGGGTAACTAACTTACAACATGAAAACAACTAACATCAGGAAACGAATCAGATTTGCTATCTTCAAGCACCGCCAGCGGTCGTTGGTACTTGATTTTTTCTCTGCCCCCCAGGTGACCCACAGTCCGGCAGTTTCGTTAATTCATTGTGACTCAGGTTGATCTCCGTCAGACCTCGATGTGCCGGGTAGACATCGCTCGAAATCTTAGAGAAATCTGTTGGCTAGTGCTTAGTGCGCATCTTTGAGCAAAAGATTCAACAAAAAAAGATATATATAATATATTATATATATATACATACATATATATATATGATATATAAGATTATAGTATAAATATAGTTTAAATATAAAGTACCCTGTCGGTTTACTTAGAAACCATCGAGGTAACTCCTTCCCCTTTGGGTTTTTTTCCGCAGGGCACCATGGAGTAAAAAAGGAACATGGTCCATGTGGGTAAACGTTGAAAAACGTTGAAAACTCTACACATTTTTTTGGTATGTCTTATAGAAAATATATGAAAATATCATTTAAGGAATATCTCTGGATCTGGAGACAATTGTGTACACATATACCATGATATAAGTATACCATGATATACCCAGATATTTAAGGAATATTTTCCTTATTGAATAATCTATTTATATCATGGTATATGTGTTTTTCTAAATCTTTGCAGTGATCCAGATCCAAATGGAATAGGAATGCTATACTCATCTTTTTGCTCCTCAACCGTTGAAGTACCCAAAACTGCCTCTCTTTTAACACCAACAAAAACCCAAGACAGGTCACCAAAAACAAGGAATAACACAACATGAGTAATATGGATCAAGAAAGTAGGTAACAAATGTACTAATCTTGTTGGGGGATGCCCTACAGTATCCGGCTCGCCGTGGGGTGGTTACAAGTTATATCGATCAACGCCATGTTTTATTCCCATTGCAGCAATCCCACTTCTACCACCATGTTTTATTGGTTAAGTCACCAATTTTCATGGTAAATCTTAGATACCTGCCAAAAAGTCCAATTATCATTAGCTGGTTCGTGCATTTTAGTCCATTATATTGATAGCAAAAGATTAAGGTACTAAATCAAAGAAAAAGGTTGATCCACTATTCAATAGTAACATCACCACCACCATATCTAAATATATATAATATATATAAATATATATAAATATATATAAATATATATAAATATATATAAATATATATAAATATATATAAATATATATAAATATATATATAAATATAAGATAGTATATAAGCGTTGCGCTTCCACCGACTTCCTGAGCCCGAGTTTGCCCAAAAACCACCACCAGCGTGGTCAAGAAGCTCGCATTGACCAGCTTGACGTGGGTCAACATATTCCTGGCGGGAAATCTTCAGGACCCGAAATAAATGAAGCTACGGTACCACTGTACCAAGCCCATATTTCTGTGGGCATTTCTGATGGAATATTTCCCAATTTTTAGGTTGCCATCAAAATGGCATGTCTGAATCTTGTTGATGGCTGATAAACCCAATCATCAGCCATCCGCAATAATTACCAGAAAAATGGATGGTCAAATCCATCAATGGACAGTAGTGCGTAAGATTGCGTAAGTACATATCCCCATCTGGTTGGCGGTTTCTACCTACCCCTCTGAAAAATGATGGAGTTCGTCTGTTGGGATGATTTATTATTCCCAACTGTTTCTGGAAAGTCATAATCCATTCCATGGTTCCAAACCACCAACCAGGCCATTGATATATCAATAGACTTGGAGAATGCTGGTTATTTGATATCCCAATTATATCTCCGTAATAAAGGATAGAAAAAGATCAAGTCGTCTTGTACAACAAACCACCAACCAAGGTTTCCCCAGTGAACAGAACGGATGTTCCGGTTGCCATCGCAATACCCTCTGGAAAAACTGGTTGGACTGTCCATTGAAAGATCATAACTGCTTGGTGGTGCAATAACCATCTTGAAAAATATGAGTTGGTCAATGGGAAGGATGACATCCCATATATGAAATGGAAAATAAGATTCATGTTTGAAACCACCAACCAAATAATAATTTAGGTCCCACTAAAATTGAAGTCCATGCTACAAGCCCGCGCGAATGGGGTGCCACCAAAATCAACTCCAAGGTACCCCATCTGTGTGTAATTCTACCGTTAGAAACCATGCAGCCCCTGACTGTCGTTGACCCAAGGATGCCTGGATGCGTTCAGGATCTGCAGTTTGCGAAACTCGAAGGTTCTTGTGTCCTGCCAACGTACGCGTACGCACCAAATGATCCACCCTGGCGAAGATTCATGGGACCAGCCGGGTTTTACACACGACCCCACCCAAAGGAAGCTTCTTGTTGGCTTCCTGATCAACAGTATCACCACAAAATGTTGGACCCCCGGGTGAAAACCTATACTACTATAATTCATTGGGGTGGATGAACAGTGCATTTACCAGCTATTTTGGGCTTCAGCTATTTTGTACCAGGAGTTTCACCCTATTTCACCCAGTTCACAAAAGCCGCCCAAAAAAGCAGAAGCTCCACCTTCATGGCATTGAGACAACTGATGTCCGTCAACTTGTTCTTTGCCAAATTGAGGGTCTCCTGAGCCCCGGGTTAGCCGCTTAGCTCATTCTCGAGAACATCTCCAGAGAACCAGCATGAACCAGCCGTGTAGATTACTGTAATCCCTGCAACCAAAATTGGGAACGTTGGTCGATGACAAACTACCCGCTCCGGGAGAATTGTTCAGAGTTTGCGAACTGGAACATGGCCCAGCTAGTTCGATAAGTTACGAGAAAACATCCGCTTTTACAAATTGGGTGATTTTCCATAGCTATACTGGTTGGTGGTTTCAACATGTTTTTACCCCTCTGAAAAATAGTCAGTTGGGATCATTATTCCCAATATATGGAAAAAAAATATCACATGTTCCAAACCACCAACCAGTATATGTTTGTTTACCAAAGGGTAACCCTGGTTCAAAGGGCCCCATATCCTCCAATCTGTTAATGATCCGGGTAATGGGCCCAACTTGTTCCGCTGAAAAAGGGATGATCTTCAGAGCCGATCCTTCTACCCTGCGGTCCGGTGGTACATGCCCCTGGCCAAGGTTTATATAGTGCAAACCATATCACATGCCAGTGCAACGTCGGTGGTGTCCTCTAGTTGTCCTGGCTTTTTGTTGGGATCTACTGTACATAACTATCTGAAGTGCTGGAATGTCCTGGGTTTATGGTGAACATATAATCATATAACTATGGTTCGATGGGTTTAGGTGGATTGTAAGATATTATAAGCAGCTTAATTATTATGTATGGTAGATAGATTGAACTATTTTCAAATTTAGTGATTAATTATCAATTGAACATAACTGATGGCCAATGGTAAGTGATGTTTAGATCATATGACTACACTTAATATCACTCTTTAACGGCTCTCAATATACTCCAACATTTCACAGGAAAAGACGACATCGATGGGAAATCCATGGGTTTTCACTTCCAGGATGGGATGCACAAAAAAGTGCAGGCATCACAGGCTTATTCACCGGAGCTCCAGGAGCGACCCAAATCTACCTGGGTAATCTTAGATACAACGTCCATCAATCTGGCTGCAAAACATTGCAGAACCATCCGAAACCCCGACATTACACCCAGCTTTGCCTTTGGCCGTGGCCCAAGGGTCAATATGCTCGCGGATGAACTGCTTGTGCATCAAACCACTCTCGGGCCCAACCAGAGTTTCCAGGCTCCTCAGCATGCGAAAACCCAAGTCCGAAAGGGTTCTCTGGGGTCTGGTGTGCTCCATGGATCATTTTTGAGGCGATGCCACACGACCACATGGGTCAGGAGAGTGCGCCATGATATTGGTTACATCCGGCATTATCATTGATTGCCTGTGTCATCATTCAATGCGGATTAAGTGCGGTATCTATGTGATCCCGTACTGTTCATATTACGCCATCTTCACATCCAGTCACCAACCATCATGGTTATGCTATCTAAGTGTACAAGCAGGAATCATATGGATTTATGGTCACATACTATGTACATAGTAAATAAATAAATATATATATATTCATATATAATATATGTATATATATATATTCAATAATATGATCAATAGTCCAAGCAGTCATGGGGTGAAGCTTTTAACCAAGAAATCTTTAGGGCACCCACGGCTTTTCGGATTTTTGCCCAGGCATCCACTTGGGCCCGCTGAAGTCAATCCGCCGTCGATTGCGGGCGGACCTGGCCGTTTCGTGAGGCCATCGTGTTTCGGGGGTGGATCGGTGGCCGGGAAATTCACTGGAGAATCACCTGAAATTTACCCTGTGGTTGTTCAACATAGCCATGGAAAATGGATGAACATGGTCCATTTATAGATGGTTTACCTATTAAAAAAATGGTGATTTTCCATGGCTATGTTGAATAACAAGATGGAAATGGGTAATAAAAACAATGCTGATGTTCAATGAGAATCTAAAATAGCTATGTAAATTTGATC